CCTCAGATATGTGGACGATACCACTCTAATGGCAGAAAGTGAAGAGGACCTAAAGAGCCTCTTGTTCAGGGTGAAAGAGGAGAGTGCAAAAGTTGGCTTGAAACTCAACATCAAAAAAACTATGATCATAGCATCTGGCCCCATCACTCCTTGGCAAATAGAAGGGGAAGTCTTGGAAGCAGTGACAGAATTCACGCTCCTGGGATCCAGGATCACTGCAGATGGTGACTGCAGCCATGAAATTAGAAGACTCCTGCTCCTTGGGAGGAAAGCTATGGCAAACCTAGGTAGTATAATAAAGAGACATCACTCTGCCAACAAAAGTTCGTATAGTCAAAGCGATGGTAGTCTCTGTAGTAATGTATGGGTGTGAGAGTTGGACTGTAAGGAAGGCCAACCGCCAAAGAATAGATGCTTTTGAATTATGGTGATGGAGAACACTCTTGAGAGTCCCTTGGACTGCAAGGAGATCAAATCAGTTGATCCTAAAGGAAATCAACCCTGACGGTTCCCTGAAATGCCAGATACTGAAGCTGAAGCTCAAATGCTTTGGCCACCAAATGAGAAGGGAGCACTCATTGGAGAAGACCCTGATGCTGGGAATGATTGAAGGTAAAAGAAGAAGGGGACAGCAAAGGATGAGATGGTTAGACAGAGTTATCGATGCAACAAACCTGAAATTGAGCAAACTTCGGAGGACAGCAGAAGACAGGAGGGCCTGGTGTGATGTGGTCTATGGAGTTGTGAAGAGTTGGACTCGACTGTGCGACTGAACAACAACAATAACAAGTATCAGTCATTCTAACAGCTTAAAGAATTTTTTTAATATGTCAGTTTAGGATCTGGGACAGGATGAGGCTATATGCTGTTGGTGAAATGCATCCAGAAAGAGAGTAGGCTAGAGTTGCCAACCCCTAGGTGGTTATGTAGACAGGGGGAACAGCTATGAATAGTTAACTTAAACAAGGTTATACCATGCAAAAATATGTAATAAATAATTAAACTTATATAATTATAAAGGTTATAAGTGTGCTTTATCCCAAATATAATAGTAAATGTAAATAAGATATAATACATAGACAACTACATATAAACCAAAAGTAAAATTCAGTCTCTAAGATGTCCATTCCAAACACTTGAAAAATATGACATAGGAAAACCTTCCAAAGAATTATCCTGCTGCATAGGAAAGTTCACTTCCTCCCAACTTCATTAGGGTGATGAAGCCTGTAGCAAGTAACAATTTTAATTGGTAGGTTAATAAAGATATTCAGATAATGCCTCATGCAACATGAATATTAGTTGTTAGATTAGTTGTTAAGAACATAAGAACATAAGAGATGCCAATGTTGGATCAGGCCAAAGGCCCATCCAGTCCAACACTCTGTATCACACAGTGGCTAGAAATACCAGTGCCATCAGGAGGTCCACCAGTGGGGCCAGGACATTAGAAGCCCTCCCACTGTTGACCCCCCCAAGCACCAAGATGACAGAGAATCACTTGCCCCAGAGTCCCTATCTATACCTTGTGGCTAATAGCCACTGATGGACCTCTGCTCCATATGCTTATCTAATTCCCTTTTGAAGCCGTCCATGCTTGTAGCTGCCACCACTTCCTGTGGCAGTGAATTCCAAGTGTTAATCACTCTTTGGGTGAAGAAGTACTTCCTCTTATCCGTTCTAACCCGACCGCTCAGCAATTTCATGGAGTGCCCACGAGTTCTTGTATTGTGAGAAAGGGAGAAAAGTACCTCTTTCTCTACCTGCTCTTTCCCATGCATAATCTTATAAACCTCAATCATGTCACCCCTCAGTCGTCGTTTCTCCAAGCTAAAGAGCCCTAAGCGCCTTAACCTTTCCTCATAGGGAAAGTGTTCCAACCCCTTTATCATTCGAGTTGCCCTTTTCTGCACTTTTTTTATGTCTACTATAAATAGTGTTAGTATTATCTTCTCCCCATAGTTTTATTTATAAAATTCAAATATTATGAATTTCTTCTCGTGTTTACAAAGGATCCATAACTTTATCTTTGGGTCATGCTGAAAGGGCCTGCCAAAGGATTGTCTGGCTGCACCCTTCCAGTAGCACCACATCAGCAGCATTCTTTTATTTGATTGATTGATTGATCTAAATATTTTATCCTGCCTTTTTGGCGCGTTTGTCTTTCGGTGCCGACACACTAGCTGCAGGAGTGGGGGTGGAAGACATGTCTTTCCCCCTCTTTGGTTCTCCTTGCGCCGGTGTTAAGGCTTCTCCCCTCTCAGAGTCTGAGAAGAAGCCCTCCGAATCATCCTGTTCCGACATGCCCCAGTTGGAGTGTCGGGCGGGAAAAGAGAAAGGTGGAAGGTTGAGGAGGTGGTGGGATTAAAGTTGTAGAGGAGAAGGGAATAACAGTTTAGGAATCAGTGTAGTAGAGAATAGGATACAATTTGAAGAAAAAAACAGTTGGAAAAATAGTTGGAAAAAAGGCACAAGTGCCAACAGATTGCTGCTCTCCCTACTGAGGCAGGAACAAAACTGAGTTGAGGGTCGTGTCCCACCTAGAGGACAGGAAGTGAAGTTTTGGTTCCTGCCTCCCTAAGGAAAGGGTGGGAAACACCCAACAAGATGTCCTTCGCTCAGAGGGAGAATTTTCAGGCATGATGTCCCATAGTGAATGGGAACTGTATAAGAGCACTATTGGGCACTGTTTTAGAACATCCATTCATTTCAATGAAACTTTACTCAGACAAAGGTTCCAGTAGGGTGGTGAGTGTCATGGTTTTTCTTCTAGTCCAGAGCCATACAGTTTTTGTTTTCTGTTCTACCATTCAGCTCAACCAAATTTGAAGCCTTCCTCTGTCCCAAAGAGCTTTCATTCTACAGAAGTAGCTCTTCCACCAACAGAAGAATCACATGTTGGAGGAATGTTCCTTGGACAGGAAAAAGGCTTCAAACTTGGCTTTGTAGAGTGATAGGATGCAAGCCTTCAAATATATCTCATGCCATGTTTGGTAGCCCACCAAAGGCGTAATAAAATTCCTTTAGATCTCTGCCTGGAACAGGACTTGGGTGTTGTTAAGCTTCTGATAGGCCATACTATATGTAGCTGCCAAATCACAGCTTGTGTAGGCTACCCTGTTTTAGTTTGTCTTGGGGGTGTATGTTCAGATCTACCCCAAACCAAAAATATACCCGAAAAATACCTCATTGGTTTTTTTCTGGTAAATTTCGGCATCTGGTATTTTTTTTGGGGGGGGGGGATCCCTGATATGTTCAGGAATTACCGGTAGATCCGGAAAACAGTGCAAAGGCTGGAACAGATTCCTCCCGCCTCTCAGCTGTTTGTCAGGCTACTACTGCAGTCCCTTTAACGTTTAAATGGACTGCAGAAGACCGTCGGACGATCAGCTGTGCTGGCAGGGAGCAGATCGCTTTGGCCTGGCTCCTCAAGTGGCCTCGTTTAAAGGGGGCTGCAGTAGAAACCAGCCCAAGGATCAGCTGTGCTGTCATGGAGAGGATCACTATTTGCCTGCACAGCTTCAGGCTGGCTCCTCATGGAGCCTCATTTAAACGAGGCTGCAAGAGAAGCCAGCCCAAGGATATGATAATAGACATATGTTCTTTGGCCATCCCTCTACGATTTTCTTCAGTCTTGTCTTTACAGTCCTAGTAATTCATCCGTGTTCTTCTGTTATACCTGTTTATGAAGCAGCAGCAGTCACCAGGAAAGTCCATCTGTTCCATTTCCCAAGGAGACCAAAGAAGTTTCCCATCATGAAAAATCAAACAGTTCTATTGAGAAAGAAGGTCTGACAGCTGTGAACAATTCCCTGCAGACTAATAGCATTCCATCCATCCCAGACGAGAGAGGTGAGTACTCAGATGAGCACTGCTAAAAGACTATTTGTGTTCTGTCCCTGCCTCTATCAATGGTGTTTGTGACCGGCTCATGCAGAAAACATATAACAAGTGGTAAAACTTTTCTCTGGCTGTTTCATTTGTGTCTGCATGTGCAGGGTATCCTAAATTACTTTTTGGCAATTTTTGCCTCATATCTGACACTACTGATTCTGCACTGGCTTTTCCCTCCATTGCTTTACCAAGCCCATGTTGGAACAGAAATTCGCCTCTGCATTGCATGCTGCTGTCACTTTCTTTGATCACTGGCTTTTATGGTACCCTCTAGACTGCATGCCCGCTTTCCGTTTCTTTGATCATCAAGTTTTATGGTACCTCCTGTATAGATTTATGGCCGTTCAGAGGCAACTTTGCAATCAGTACAGTACGGCATTGCCCCGGAGTATTTGAATGTGGTTTTCAGCTGTACCTTTTCTGTTCCAACATGGGTTTGGTAAAACAATGGAGGGAAAAGCCAATGCAGGATCAGCCACCATACCATTTGGTTTGCCACACGGGGCACTGGCTGTGAGCCACTGGCTAGCTGATTGTTCTCTCATTTTTCTGGAAACCATTAGATTTTTTAAAATTTAAAACATTGAGTTAGCCTCTACGGTATTGTGTAAACTGAAAGGAAGACGCAAGGAAGGCTTGGCCCTAATTAGGACCCTGTATCTGACAAGATGGGAATCACAGGAGGACAGAAGCAATCTGAAAATCCCACCCCTCAAAATTCCAACCCCTCTGGAATTCAATAGATGCTCGGGATCTTGAGCCAGCTGATTTCTCCCCCCCCTTTCTTTAACTAATGCTCACTGGTCTCAACATTCCATTGCTTTGGGGGCATGTTTATGTCTCAGCAGGCTTTTCCCACTCTTACTCATTTAATTAATTTACAGAGACATATTTTTCTTGATGCCTGAGGAGCCCCTTTTGTTGGTAGAGATCTCACCTTTTGTGTGGGTGGCTCCATTGTGTGGCTTTTGTTATCCACACACAAGCCAGCTAGTTTGCTATTGCATTGTGCAGTTATTCACACTTGCACAATACAGTTTGGGCCATTGACTTAAGGAACCCTTACACAGATTGCTCGCTTGTTAAGCTGTCTGTTCCTGCATAGGGACAAAACCTGCTTCACGGCCTTTCTGGCTTTCCCTTGAGAATAAATCTTTTGGACTTCCTCTTCAGATTCAACTTCTGTTGCAACAGAATATTCCCTGAAATTTGATTCCATGACAGAAGATGAGATGGAAGAGAAGTCCTTCCGGTCGTTGCTACCCTCTGAGAGTCACCGACGGATCAGCTTGAAGAAACACAGTCACCATGGCTATCCTGATCAGGAAGCGTCTTCTAGAAAGATGCCCTTATCTGTCAAGGCAAGTATTCAATATTTTGTGCCCTCATATGTTTGGGACTCTTCTGGTTAGTTTTTAATGACCAAGGATTTGTTTGTTTGTTTTGTACATATATTTTATTATGTATTTTATTATTATTTTGATATATATGTGTGTGTGTGTGTGTGTGTGTGTGTGTGTGTTAAATGTTGTCAAGTCACTTCTGACTTATGGCGATGGTATAAATTAATGATGTCCAAAACATCCTATCATTAACAGCCTTAATCAGGTCTTGCAAAATGAGGGCCGTGGCTTCCTTTATTCAGTCAGTCTATCTCATGTTGGGTCTTCCTCTTTTCCTGCTGCCTTCAACTTTTCCTAGCAATATTGTCTTTTCCAGTGAGTCTTGTCTTCTCATAATGTGGCCAACGTAAGATGGCCTCAGATCGGTCATTTTAGCTTCTAGGGAGAGTTCAGGCTTGATTTGATCTAGAACCCACTTTTTGGTGGTCCAAACACCATATTTCAAATGATTTGTCTTTTGTTCAGCTTTCTTCATTGTCCGACTTTCACACCACATAGTAATGGGGAATACTGTGGTATGAATGATCTTGATCTTGATCACTGGTGACACATTCTTTATCACTTAGGGATCTTTTCTAGCTCCTTCATTGGCTGCTCTTCTTAGTCTCAGACTCCTTCTCATTTCTTGGTTGCAGTCTCCCTTTCGGTTGATGACGGAGCCAAAGAGTAGAAAATCTTTAATAATTTTTATTTCTTCATTGTTAGCCTTAAAGTTGTGTAAATCCTTAGCTGTCATTACTTTTATCTTCTTGATGTTCAGCTGTAATCCTGTTTTGGCACTTCCTGCTTTAATCTTCATCAGTAGTTGTTTCAAGTCCACTATTTTCTGCCAGTAATGTGGTGTAATCTGCATACCTCAGACTGCTAATGTTCCTTCCAACAATTTCATCTAAATCTAATCCAGTTTTCCATATTATATGTTCTGCATAGATTGAAGAGATAGGGAGATAAAATGCATCCTTGTCTGACACCTTTGCTCATTGGAAACCATTCCTTCTCCATATTCTGTCCTAATAGTAGCCTCTTGTGCATGAAAACAATCAGATATTGTGGCAAACCCATTTATTTTAAAACCAACCATAGCCTGTCATGATCTACACAGTCAAAGGTTTTGTCGTAATCTGTGAAACATAAACTGATTTTCTTCTGTAATTCTTTCATTTACTCCAGTGACCACCGTAAATTTGCAATATGATCTCTAGTACCTCTTTCTTTTATGAATCCAGCTTGAACATCTGGAATTTCTCATTCCATATATTGTAACAGTCTTTGTTGTAAGATTTTGAGCATCACTTTATTGCATGAGAAATTAATGTAATGGTCTGATAATTGCTGCAGTCTTTGATGTCTCCTTTGTTTGGAATTGGAATGTAGACTGAGCATTTCCAGTCTGTGGGCCATTGTTTTGTTTTCCATATTTGTTAGCATATTCTTGTTAAGATTTTTATGGACTCTGCTTCTGTGGCTTGGAATAACTTTGTTGATGTTGGATTTGGGGATTTGTTCTCCCAATTGCCTTGAGTGTGGCTTTCACCTCACTTTCTAAAATTGGAGGTTCTTCTTCAAAAGGCTTTTTGTAGAAGGAATTTGTTATCCTTTCTTCTGTATAGCTCTTCAGTTTATTGCTCACTGGAACCTGACTCAGTTTCTCATGTTTTACTTCGCTGTCCCACACATTGTAAGCTTCATCAACAACTTCTTGATCCTGTTATTTCCAACATTACTGGCTTCCCAGAGAGAATTAGTATTTACTCACTGATAAATCCATCAAACTGATGGAACTGGTGGCTGAGTATCTGGCTATTGTGTTGCGTAGGGGTAATCATGTTTCTAAGGTTAGGGCAGAGAATATTTGATTAATTTTGTCCTCATGTGCTGCTATTCTTTGATATTATTTTATTGTTTTATCTGGACAGTACCACTCGCATTTTGACTTTTATCTATGTAAGATCATCTCTATATTTTATTATATTTTATGCCATTAAAGGTTATTGAAACTTTAACTTTATTTATCTGTTTAGTCGGTGTATTTCCATTATGATCATTCAGCATGCCTAAACATGCTTTAATTTTTCTCTTGATTTCTTAGATCTTGTGGAACAGATCTCTTGTTCTTCCTTTTTGTTCTCTTCTGTTTCTTTACACTGGTTATTATAATAGTTCTCTTTGTCCCTACCTGCCAGTCACTGATAGCTAAATTTAGACTTCTGATTCTATTTCTGTCACCTTTTACTTTTGCTTCTTATCTGTTATTAGCAGTGTTAAGAGCTTCATCAATCATCCATCAAGGCTTTTTATTTCTTTTGGCTATAGGAATAGTCTGTATGCATTCTTCCTTGATAACATCTTTGCTTTATACTCATAGTTCTTCCAGTTCCCATTCACTTGAACTTAGTAATGCAGATCTGTTGTTTCTAAACTCTTCTGGAATGTTGTTTAGATTGTATTTTGGCATTATGAATATTTTGGTGTTTTTCTTCAGCTTTGTTCTAATTTTTGATATTAATAATTCATGGTCTGTATCACAATCAGCTCCTGGTCTTATTTAACAGATAGAATAGAGCTTCTCCATCTTCTGGTTCCGGTTATGTAATCTATTTAATTTATATATTGCCCATCTGTTGATGTCCATGTATGCAATGGTCTGTTTGGTTACCTGAAACATGTGTTCGCAATGAACATCTTGTTGTCTTCACAGAATTCTGTGAGCTGCTGTTCTGCTTCATTTCATGCTGGCTCTTTTTGTAGCAGGTACTCATTTGGATATTAAGTGACACACCCCTAATGTAGCCAATCCTCCAAGAGCTTACAGTAGCCCCTGTAAGAAGAGCTCTGTAAGCTCTTGGAGGATTGGCTACATTAGGGGGGGTGGCCTAACATGCAAAGGAGTTCCTGCTACAAAAAGAGCCCTTTAGCCCATATTTTCTGACTATAGGTGAAATAAATCACCTTATTGATGCCTTACTCCAAAGCCTTAGATGATCTCTCTCAATGGTTTTGTGTAAATGTTAAGTAGCATTGGGGACAAAGTTAACCCGTATGGGGTGCCGTAGCATCAATATAATGGAGTCCAATTGTTGTTTTCCAATATCACCTTCTGAAAGTGGCCAGCCAGAAGGATATTATGGCTAATGGTCTCAGAAGCTGCTGAAAGATTCAAGACAACAAGCAAGGATGCACTCCCACTGTCAGTCAGAGCAACCATCTCAAATCTATGCCTCAACCAGGACTGAAATGTTTTCAGATAATCTGTTCCTTCAAAGACCATCTGAAGTTGTAAGCACCCTGCCCAGGATTGTAATATTGGCCATTGGACAGCTGGAGGCAAGGTTGCTCAAGCCCAGGGACCCCTTCTTCAGAAGGGGTCTCATGACCACCTCCTTCAATGTACCAGGCATGACCACTCCCCATCAGAAAGGTATTTATAATGTCCTGGACCACTTGACAAGCCCAACACAGATCAGAAATATCAGCCAAGAGGGGCAAGAGTCACATGCTAACCAGGGTGGGCTGCACACTTAGAATCAGTTTGTCCACTTCATCATCACTTCAGCAGGCGAAAGTCATCCATAAACCTGATGTCAGATTGCACTCCAGCACATACTGAGATTGAATTGAATTAACTGCAGAGCCCATGTCTATAACAGAAAACTGTAGCAGTGGATGGTTTAGTGTCAGAGTGTATGCTTTGCATGCAAAAGATCTCAGGTTCAGTTCCTAACATTTCTGGTTAAAAAGCATGAGGTAGTAGGTGATGTGAAAGACCTCTACCAAAGACCCTGCAGAGTTGCTTCCAATCAGAGAGGCAATGCCTATTTTGATAGACAAGTGGTCTAACTTGGCACAACTTCATGTGTTCATCCTCTGGGCTCTGAAATTCAAGCCGTCTCACAACCCAGAAAACAATGACAGAGCAGTGAGCCCACTTTGCCTCCATCTCTGTCAAAGTAACTGATATGAGGTGCTCTCACTCATGCTCTGTTGCATTCCTTCTAAGTTTTCCTCCACTTGCACTCCAACCATCTCCCTAGAAGTTTCATCACTCTGAGCACCTCAGTAAACCACGGAATATTCTCTGTGTTCTGCCAGAGGAGAGAGGGTGCTCAGAAGCAATTATCACCACTAGCCATGCCATCTCTGCTTTCTATGGGTCAACCAGGGTTTGACAGGAGCACTAGCTTTGCTAACAAGAAAATCCCCTACAGATATCAGGAAGTGTTTCAAAACACAAATGTTCACTTATGCCCAAAATGGGCTTTTTGACAGATTCCCATTCTACAGTGTTAGGATATTTGTCAAATGGAGGGGCATGCCCCTCCACTGACATCGCTTGCGTTATTAAGGGCAATCTTGTCTCACTTTGATATATGGCAAAAATAAAAGGATTCCAGGTTGCACTATGAGAATTAACACTGTGAACTATGTTCTTGTTTCAGGAGCTGAGCCTGCCATTCTCAGGAGGTCAAAACAGTTTTTCCAAATTCACAATGGAAATGGTGCGGCAATACATGAAAGAAGAAGAAATGCGGGCAGCTCATCAGTCCTCGCTTCTCCAGTTGCGCAAGAAAGCACTGAAAGAGAAGACCAAGGCTGAGTTAGCCTGGCTAGAGCTCCAAGAAAAGTATGAGAATCTCGGAAAACATGATAGTTTGTAATACTAGTGTTCCATCCTGGGGATTTATATTAAGCCGTTCAACTCTGCCAAATTTTGTTTCCAGCCTCCTCCTACAAATGTCGGATTGCCATGAAAGAACAACTAAACACAGTTGTGTTTTTCACAGTGATTTATCAGGAAGTGCTGCTCTGGAGCAGGGTTGGTCATCTTGTACCCATGAGTGAGCACTGGTATTGAAGTAACTTTGCCAGGGCCACTAGGATCCAGATAAATGTAATCAAGATATAAATAAAAGTTTTGCTTCAGGTTTTCATTTGTAAGAAAAAGAAGCAATTAATTCACCTGCACATGTCAGATGACTTTATTGTACTATTGTACTGTTGTGTGCATTTTGTAAAAGGCCATCTGACTCTTGAGGGGGAATCTTTTGGGAAGCACGTTCAATCCACAGCCCCCTTAGTTGATGATACAAAGACCTCCAAGTGCTTGGTATTTGTGAAGCCCTTTGTCACCAACTGATGACTAGGAGCCAGTGTAGTATAACAGTCGGAGAGTTGGACTAGCACCTAAACCACCAAGTTTCAAGTTCTGCACTACCATAAAGGTCTTGGAGAAAAGGGGAGGGAGATTTAATTGGAAGCACAATGTAAGAGAATCCCCTTACAATGAACAGGCATACATCAAAGCACAGCTGTGATGATCAAGTGAGGAGAGAGCCATGTGCACCAACTGAAGGTTCTTGGAGGAGGGATGGGACAAAAATCTAATGGATGCAATAACTTTGCCGGTCCTGGCAAGCAGTCATGGAGTTCAGCTCCTGCCAACCTAGCAGTTTGAAAGCAAGAAATTGCAAGTAGATAAATAGGTACCACTTCAGTGGGAAGGTAACAGCGCTCCATGCGCCTCGGTGTTTAGTCATGCCGGCCACATGACCACGGAAATGTCTTCGGACAGCGCTGGCTCTTTGGCCTTGAAACTGAGATGAGCCCCACAACCCTAGAGTCGGATTCGACTGGCTTTCAAGCAAGGGAACCTTTACCTTTAACCCTGCTCTAGAGAGTCTCCATGCTTTGATCCTTTGAACCGCTATGACTGCAAAGAGATGTGGTCCAATCCTGAACGATACGGTGTACTAAGAGCCTCTACTCTCAAATGAGTTGTTGCTTGTACACTACCAAGAACAGCTGACATTGACAGCTATGTAGAAGGGGTATTGCACTGAGCTTTTCCCTGGCTAGAAAATGGGAGGGCGAGACAAGGAAAGGACAAGACAAGGTATGACTGAATCAGCCTATCAGATAGCTTACAAAGTGCCAGGTTGCATTCTCTTAAAACCAACCAGCTTTTTGTGGAACTCTCTGCACCACTGCAAACCCACTCCTCTCATCTTCGATAGTTACCTGTTAGAACAGGGCTACCACAGACACAAGAAATCACTGGTTGGACCTGCAACACTTTACTTGCACTGGGTACTGCAGCGCATTGCATTGTTGCAGATATTTTTATGTGCTTGGACAGCTATGTGTATCTTCTTAGAGCTGGGATTCCAGTCTGTGTGTTTTTAAACTCTCAGAATAAAAGTGTTGCCCTGCCCTGAACTGGTGCAAGCTATTCTGTTGAAAATGTGAAATTCTTCTGCTGTTGATTTTCCTAGGCACTTGAGAGACAAAGGAGAGGATGACAAGATGCCACCTATCTGGAAGAGGCAGCGTGGCCTGATTCTGAAGCTCCAGCAGGAAAAGGTAAAAACTGCTGTGAAGCTAGGGTTGCCAGCACAGGGCTGGCAACCAGTGGTCCCCTAAGCCGAGTTAGTGTGAGCTAGCTCACAGTTTCTTAGCCTCCGGCTCACACTGTTTTGTCTTAGCTCAGGAAGGAGGGCTCCAGAGCAAACGAATTTACGCAGCAGCCAAATCGCTGGCTTACAACTTTTATGCCAGAAGCTCACAAAGTAGAATTTTTGCGAGCTTGACTCCACAGCGTAGAGAGGGAGCACTGCTGGCAACCAGCAGGGAATTCACCGGTAGCAGGGCCCTCCTTGCTGGCAACATACAGCCATCGCTGGAGACACTCCAGCATTCGGCCAAAGCTCTACTGATATCCCTCCAGGTGTGACCAGCGGTGACGTCCTCATCACATTGCTGGTGATGCTTTAGCATTTGGCCAAATGTCTGCTGTTTAACCACTGAGTTTTGGCCAAATGCTAGGGCATTGCCAGCAATGCACTGATGTTACTTCTGGATGCACTGGAAGTGATGTTGTCATGTTGTTGCCTGTGATCGCCCCTCCCCCATCTCCATCTCATTTTCCTCCTGCTGCCCAGCTGCTCCCACTGAAGCAGCAGACTTGACATTCCTATTTGAAGCCTAACTTCTGTCAAACTGAGATACTGCTGCTGGTCGTTGAGGTCTGAGCCAGTGTGGTTGAGAGGCAAAGCTGAGCTGGCGCTGTATGATGCCAAAGCGTGACACATCAAGAGCACTGAAAGGCTTGTGGCTCTTGAAGAAGCTCCCAGGAGCACATTTATTCGGAGAATAAAAGGAACAGTTGATGGGGAAGAATCTGCCGAAGAGTAGATGAAGAACAAAAAAAAATGAGAAGGTGGAAATGAGCAAGCAGTAAACCTGTGAAGATGAGAATGTTGCTACTCCTTTTTGTTTTGTTTTATTGTACTTACTTGTACAGGCAGAAATTAAGTGTCTTCAGGAGGCTAATAAGGCTGCCCAGAAAGAGAGACAACTGATCCTCAAGCAGCAGGAAGAGATACAGCGAATATGCCAAACTACTACTAAACTGCAAGAAAAACTGAAATCTGCAGTGGAAAATAAGCTGGTAAGGTGCACTGCAGCAGTATCTTGTTAATGTCCTTTGTGCCGCTGCAGTTCTCAATTTTAAAAAATGAACATTATCTGGAACAGAAAGGAGAGCTGTAATTTTTGAAAATAAATAAATGAAATTGAAAACTCTCTGTCTGATCTTTTGAGCAAGATTAATTCTATAAGTGACCTGTAAGAAGATCATCATAAACATAAACATAAAGCAAGTCATAAAAATATCATAAAACAGAATTCAGCAGCCCAAAACAGTCCTCAAGGTAAAAATGAAATGACTTTAAAAGAGGATACCCCTCAGTTAACCCTTTGGCAGAAAGAACTGTTTTAGCCTGACACCTAAAGGACAGTAAGGTGGGCATCAGGTGAGCCTTAAGGGCTCCTGGGGCAAGGTGCCACTGCTGAAAAAGCCCTGTCTCTGGTCAGCATCTGTCCTGCCTGTGAAGGTACAAACAGCAGGGCTTTAAAAGAAGATCTTAACTGGTAGGCTGGACAGTATGCGGGGAGGCAAGCCTAATAAACCTAGGTAGCACTTTATTCAGGCTAAAGATATTGATTAAAGGAGAATAATTGATACGTGGGAAATTTTAAAACATGACAATTCTTAAACAATTCCATACATTTTTCCAGCTCACAGCAGATGTTGGTGCTTCAGCTGTGTGGAAACTAGTTTCCCATAAAATAACTGTGTTTCATTTGTATGCATTTTCATTTTTCCATTTGAGTAGCTGAACGTCAGCACTAGGAACTGGCGTAACGTGATGCCTCTCGTTGTTGATATTGCTTGACTTTTTTGACAGGAGCCCTGCAGTGAAGGTGATGCAAAACGAACTCATTCTCCCAGCCCACTGCCAGTGGATGCAGAGACCTGCAGCCCTTCTTCTGCCTCTAGCAGTGAGACCCATAGTATCATGCAGAAATTAAAGAAAATGCACAGCCGGGTGGACAAGAAGTAACTATTTTAATTTATATTGGTTGAGGTTATCTTTTTATTGTGAAACTTTCAGGCATAAGAAATGGGTTCTTAATTTTTTAGGCAGTCTGTAAAATTACATTAGCAGAACTTTGGAATATGCACCAGGTTTTCATACGTACACTGGTATTTTTTAACCCTCTGCCAGACCATCAAAAATATCTCTGAAAACTGGGGAAGTCTCTGAAGAGGCAGCCAATACCATGCAACAGGCTGCCATCATAACTAGAAAGGGGGTGCTCCTTCCAGTGCATGCATGCAGGAAAGTCTTTCAAGCACACATATGGAGCTCTTTGGATCCCAACCTACAGAAAGGGAAAAGAAATATAGTTTCTGATGCCCCAGAAAAGGTTACTTGTACCTGTTTCCAAGGTTATGGGTTCACAGCTGCTTTACTGTGGAGAAATTGTCAGTGGTTCAAGTTATTTCATGTGTCACATATATTTAGTATGTGATGGAAATCTTCTGAACTGAATCCTTTACCGATATTGTGATAAATGGCATAGGAACCCATTGTATTCTCATGACATAGATATAAACTGGGCCTTCTCTTTGTAATAACCCCCTCTTCCCTGTCTTTGTGTGGTCTTTAGTTTTGGGTATAAATGGATCTACCAGTTGAATAAGCATCTGACAAAGTGACCTCTGAATAAATGTTGTTAATCTTTAAATTGTCAGGGGACTCCTATTTAATAATGCCTTTGATTACTTTAACCTCTTATAACTTGGGACAGTGGAAAGAAAATTCGTACTGATGAAGGTGGATGCATGTCAACTCATCAGCTGTTTCCCAGAGAGTTATACCATTAATTAGACCATGACCTCTTAGCAATGGGGTACACTGATGAAAGAAGCTTGAGTTGCTTATATTCCATGAGTAGTCATTACGTTTTACCCTATCTTGAATACAGGTTAAGGTATCTTGCTGCTACAGCTTTTGGTGTGGGTGATTGATTTCTTAATGCTTTGTTTTGCCAGATTCTTAACAAAACGAGAGCAAAAACTGATGCAACGGCGCCAGCATGCTGAAGAACTGCTGCAGTGGAAATGCCGTCTAGATACAGAAGAAGCAGAGATATGTCAAATAGAGAGACATGCCTTGGCTGCTTGGGACAAAAAACTGCTGGAAACAAAAGCAAACAAAATGGCAGCAGGGGACCAGCATGATCAGAAAGGTAGCAGCAATGAAAGGAAGCCTGAGAAAGGGAAACTGAAGCCCTAGGCAACATTCAGTGCGGTGCCAGCTATGTGGGCAAGACCCATGCACTGACCTCCTGCAACCTTGGGTTTCTATTAGAGGGATTTTGCCTGTGATCCTGCTTGGGAGTTGAAAAGTTCGCAGACGGAGAGTGATTTCAGCAAAGCGTACTTTATTCGATCAGGAACAAGACGACTTTGGCCGGCTCGCAGGCCGTCTTATATCCCCCGAGAAACCGCCACCCAAAACACACCCCTACTTCTCTATAGGTTATTTACAGTGGCCGAGAGTCCCATAGGCTCTCGGCCGGGAACCTAGCCCCCTGATTGGATCCGCATAGTCCATTGTCTCTTGGAGCGAAGCTCTGCATTTGTCTCTGGACTTGTCTGGACTTGTCTGGACTGGATACATTACAGGAGTATATCCTGCTAGTATCTCTGGCACTTATTTACAAGGAAATCCATTTAGATTTACGATGTAAATAACTATGCGAAGGAATACTGAAATATACAGAACTCTCCCCTCTCTATCTGTGCTACTTCATACACTGTTTTCCTGCAGTAAGAAGATCTGTGGCGTTTCTCACAAACACACACACAGCATTCCTAAACTGTTAATTTGAGACATTCATTAAAATGTGGTTTCCCATTTAGGATTACACTGGATGAGTAAAAGCAAAATTCTGTGAGAGTGGTCTAAGTGGCCCATGCTTAAGGCTGCAATAGTAGCCTTATGTTTAATGCTGCAGTAGTAGCCCTATGTTTATATAGCATTTGAAATTGAGAGGTAGGGAACCTTTTACTGCTCACCCCTCACCCCTTTTTTGGTTCACATCACCAGAAGATTAAAAAAAACCATGCACATCTATCTGGGGTCTCTGCTTTTAAATGCTGGGGTGGTTGATTGATCACAGAAGCCATCATGTTATAGCTATGCGTTTGTGCTATGAACAGTCAATGTGTTTTCATACTTTTATTCCATTGCATTGGAATACCCTCATATGTTTGTGTGTGCTTTTTTTAAAAAAAAATATCTGCCTAATGGGTCTGTGTTATCCAAGAATGGGGGTCAGATTTAGGAGGGTAAAAGACATAGAGTCGTTGTAGATGCACATGAAGGGGGGTGTGTTCTTGCTTGACTGCTGTTACTCTGCTATTTCATCTCAGAAACAGCCAATGAAGAAGATTCTTCAGCGCCGCCTTGTTCTCGCTTCAACAACGGAAGCTCTGTCCCAGAAGAACTGGGGAATCTAGCTGTTGAGTCTGGCCCACCAAAGGTCTCTGAGGTCCAAGGGCAGTTGGGAAGTCCAGATCATACTGCGCTTATGGAAGGAATGGTTTATGTGCAGGAAATTGAATCTTCTGCCTCCCCTGGAAAACTTGTGAGTGAACTTGTTCATCACTGTACTAAAAACCATGCCGAAACAAGGTTCTCCAGTCACCATTCTTGAAGTGTGGGCTTGGTTTAGGCATATTGCTGCATTTATGTATGTATGTATGTATTTATTTCTTAAATTAGATTTGCTCGCCAAGCCTTCCGTACAGGTAGGGCTCGGGGTGGCCTTGCAAATCAAATTTTTTTACATCAATAGAATGTACATACATGTGTTCCAGGAGGCAATTATGGGCATGAGGACAAGGGAGAAAGGTGGAGTTATTGTAGGGAGCAGGAGGCTTTTGGTGCCTGAAGGTGATGAAGGAGTGAAGGTCACGGACAGGAATGTGTCTAGGTGCAAGAGATAAAAGGGGCATGGTCATGAAGGGTTTTAAAGGTAAGGCTGGGGAGTTTGTGTTGGAGCCAGAAGGGAACAAGAAGCCAGTGTAGAGATCTAAATATGACCATTGCCTTAGCAGAGCAACATGAGAAGTGGCAGATTCGGGTAGCAGAGTGCTGGATACGTCTGATGATAGAAGATCAGAGAGGAGAAAGGTGCAGGGATCAAGATGAGAGATGAGCAGAGTGTGAAGCAGAATTTCTCTGATGGGGCAGAGAGGAAGGACTGTGTGTTGTTAGTGGCGTGGCCTGGGGACAGACTGTACATGCAGACAAAGCTGAGAGAAGGATAAGGCCCAGATTAACTCCAGGTCAACCTCGGGAATGGATGTGGAGAGTGTTCAAGGAGACTTAGACTTGGGGAAAATATGAGAAGTTCACTCTTGGACATCCTGAGCTTGAGACAGTAGTGAGACATCCAAACAGGACAGCAGCTGGAGTCTCGGGATGGCTGGAGGGAGAAAGTTGAAGGAAAGGCAGAGCTGGGTTTCATTATTGTAGAGCGGGTCCTGAATGCCATGCAGTATGATGAGATCACCCAGGGGACAGTGTGGAAAGAGCAGAGAGCCACGATGGGGAGAGAGCTGATGAAGTGCTTTCCCTGTGGAAATGATGTTTGAGCTGTTAGACTGGCAGAAGAATTTAGGAAGATGATAACGGAATAACAGAAGCCCAAGGGGTGAATGGAGTCAAGTGAGAGCAAGTGATGATCTGTGCGCTCAGAGACCCCTGGATAGGGGGTTCGAGCGGGATATAAAGTAGAATGTAAAATAAATAAATAAAAAAAAATAAGAGCAGTTTCCGTGGGTGCAGAAACCGGATGGTAGTGGGTCAGGAGATCAGATGGAGCCTGGAGGTGAGAAAAGGCTGAGACAGCGGGTGTGAGTGGTATGCTGTAGGAATTTGGAAGTCAGAAGTCAAAGGAAAATTGGGCAATAGGGGAGAGAGGGAGATTGTATATCGTGCTATGATCCTTGATTCTGGATACCATCCCCACCATCTTTGAACTGAAGATCATGACCAGCTTGAAGCACTTTATTTGTATATTAGAACTGTTGTTTTAGTTTGTTTTTGTTATGTTTTTATATTGGCACGTGTGCCCTTGTGTTAGCCGCCCTAAGCCCGCTTGCGGGGAGGGCGGCCTATAAATCGAATAAATAAATAAATATGTCATAGATTCTAGGTGACATCCCACCCCAATCTGTGCCTTCCTCAGGCTCTGCCCTCAAATCTCCAGGAATATTCCAGGACAGAATTGGCAACCTGGAATATTCCTGGAGATCTGAGGGCAGAGCCTGGGGAGGGATGTCACCTAGAATCTATGATATAGGGGAGAGTTCCTTAAGGAGGAGGCTGTCTGCAAAACATACCTGGGAGATATGGTTTGATAAGTATGGTTCGATAAGCCCTGGGACATGAAGATCTCTAATGGTAACAACCAGCACTTTGAAATGGGCCATGTGAAGCAAATAAGTATCCAATGCAGTTAACACAACACTGGAGTTACATGTTCCGAAGATAGGGCTGCCAGCCACTGGGAATCTTTGGGGGTTGGAGAGTCACCATAAGAGCATCTGCCAGGGCTTTTACATCACTTTCGGCCGCAGAAAGCATAAAGTTTTCGGTGAACACTTCGAGCATCGCTTCTGGCTAAGCAGATGGAAATTATGTCATGACATTGCTGCATGCCATTTCAGCCCTTGAATTCCACACACACACCCAGTTGCTCAGATAGATAAAGGGTGGAAAATGGGGGGCAGGGGCAGTCATTCTCTCACCCGGCAAAACTACCCTATCTGAGCAGCTGATTCCAGAGCGGAGCCTTGCTACAGCATTTTGTACCGATTGATGAGCAGCTGATTCCAGAGCGGAGCCTTGCTTCAGCATTTTGTACCGGTTGATGCTTCTGATATGTCTTCAAAGGCAGCCCCATGTATAGCATGCAAGAGTAATCCTTAATCTGGAGTTTACAAGAGTATGGAGCAGTGCAGCCCAGTCACCAGAATCTAGATAAGGGGCCAGTTTAAGAGCCAGATGCAATTGAAAGAAGACACTCTTAGCAACAGCAGTGACCTACAGATTCATTAACAAGTTTGAGGCCAGGAGCACCCCCAAGTTCTTAACTTGATCTACTACAGAAATCTTGACCACATTCAACCCCATGTTTGGTATATCTAAGGGTTTATTACAATAGAATGCTCTCCATACTTAGTGTGCTAGAGACCATAATGCAAGATTTGTTTATTTTTTTTTAAAGACAAGCTTTACAAGTAGATTGCTTTTTCTTCCCCCTTTGGATAGTCTCCTTCTAAAAGCAGAACATCCTTGTCAAAACAAGGGTCCAGCAAACAGACCCACAGAGCTAGAGGGCAGCAGCATTTACCAGTAAAATCCCAGGAGGTATCCTGTAGTTGGTCTGATGAGTCATTATCCATAACCCAGTCAGGTAAGGATTAGACTTCTTGATGACTACTACAGCAAGTTCAGAGTGTAGGCAGCTAGCATATTATACTCTTAATTCACATTACAAAAACAGTATGTGGTTGCTTAGATGTGTATTTCTGTGGAAGAGAGTATGCATCAATAAATTCTGCTTAGGAATCTTCATTGCATAGTTCTTTGGTGGGGGGGCAGGATGGAGTTGCCTACATAATTAACAGCTGTGTTTAAAAAGATATGTTCTGAAGAACGTTAAGAGGTGCTCTCATAGCACTGGACCCATTCCAGTCCAGCTTCTGTCCTGGCCACGGGACGGAGACAGTGTTGGTCACCCTGACAGAAGATCTCTGCAGACAACTGGACCAAGGCAGGTCAGAGCTGCTGTTGTTGCTCGATCTATCAGCAGCGTTTGACATAGTTGATTACAATCTTCTGACTCACTGCCTTGCCGACATAGGAGTCCGGGGGGTAGTCTTAAAGTGGCTCTCCTCCTTTCTCCGTGGTTGGGGACAGAGGGTGGCACAGGGAGAGAGGATGTCAACTAAGTACCCCTTAATGTGTAGGGTCCCTCAGGGGGCAGTCCTCTCCCTGATGTGATTCAACATCTATATGCACCCCCTTGCCCAGCTGGTACAGAGTTTTGGGTTGAGGTCTGCTACTGGACGGCTACCCAGATACCACCCTGCTTAATTTGACTGAGGGATTGGAGGCTGTGGTGGGATGATTAAAAAAGAGTAGACTGAGGCTGAATCCAGTGAAGACAGAGGTTCTGTGCCGGGGAGGGTGGGAGCGTCAGGGCTGGGGCATAGACACTAACACTGGCGCAGTCCATCAGGAGTTTGGGCGTAGTCCTGATGCCTCCTTAACTATGCAGGCCCAGGTCACTAATATTGCCAAACTGGCATTTTTCCATCTACGCCATGCGGCAATTGGCCAGTTTGGCGTAGTGGTTAAGTGCACAGACTCTAATCTGGGAGAACCGGGTTTGAGTCTCCACTCGCAGCTGCTGGATGACCTTGGGCAAGCCATAGTTCTGTCAGAGGTGTTCATTCAAGGACAGCTCTCGAAAGAGTTCTCTCAGCCCCACCTACCTCACAGGGTGTCTGTTGTGGGGAGGGGAAGGGAAAGGAGTTTGTAAGCCGCTCTGAGACTCCGAGTGAAGGGCGGGGTATAAATCCACTTTCTTCTCCTCCTCCTCCTCCTCATGCTCTGACTTAGTCACAGTAATCCATGCGACA